GAGCCAAAGATGTTAGAATTGTGTCGATGTCCCAATATTTCTGGACCCGACTGTATCTACAAAGGGGGAGGTGGTGTGATAGAATGCAGTAGAGATCCAGGTTCTCAGGAAGGAGGGAGCGCATTCCAGGTGGGAAAGTGGGGAGATAAGAGGCAACATCATCCAGAGCAGGAGCATGGGAAGAAGAAGAGACTTAAGACAGCCACTCCCTAGATTCTCCCAGAGTATATCTATTAGGTTAGCACAATACAGATTAAGTCTGACAAGATTCTGTCTATAAAGTGTAAGCAATAAAGAACTGAACTTGGCTAGATTGTTTCCCTGTTGTTCTTGGGCTGGGCCTGACAATTATTCTCAATAATATATCCTGCACAATTTGGATTTATGAAAGCATCTCAAGCATCTGATACCTTTAGATTATTAGATCTATTATCATTACACAAGGGTAATTACAAAAAGCCTTTGATAAAGTGCAAACTGATTTTTTATTATACATGATGAAAAAAACTGGATTTCCTATTTATTTCTTAGATTAACATATATTATTTTAATTCTAATTTTAATATCTTTGCTTGGGTGATTATGAATGGGATTATTCCTTCTGTTATCAAAATGCAAAAGGGCACATGTCAAGGATGCCATTTATGTTCACATATATTCAGTTTGGTCTTGGAACTGCTGACATGTTTGATAAGACAATGTGATGACATTCTATGGAACAACACTATGAATGTAACCTATTATATGCAGATAATATTTTGAGTCTTTAAATGATTTTCAAAAATCTTTATCATATTTTGTAGAAATTTTACAACAATCTGGTAAATATTCAGGGTATACAACAAATTGGAATAAGTCTAATATGTCCATTACTAGTAATATTTCTATAATATTGGCAAAAATTTAGAATTTTCATTCTGTGCTGACTCTATTAAATACCTAGAGATAATTATTCCAAAAAAAAAATCTCTCTTAGTTGAAATGAATATTTCAAATTGTATTACCCTGGTGATACAATTTATCTAGAGAGATGGATGAAATTACCTGAATTAGGGGATGAATAAATGTGGCGAAAATGAATATGGCTT